AGCCTGTTTCTCTCTCCAAAAAGCAGCAATTACCTACCTTTCAGGATTATTCTGAGGAAAAATACATACAAAGCATTTAAAACAATGCTGGTGCTGAAATATTTAGGGGGAAGGTGTGTTGATGTCACCAGTTTACTTTGAAATGCATGAAAAAAGATGGAGTAATAAGTACTTAACACCGCTGTACACTTAAAAACTGTTAAGGTAGGCAGGGCGCGGTAGCTCACACCTGTAATCCCAGCACTTTGGGAGGTCATGATCAGGCAGATCATGAGGTCAGGAGGTCGAGACTAGCCTGGCCAACGTGGTGAAACTGTCTCTACCAAAAAAAAAATTAGCCGGGCGTGGTAGCAAACACTTGTAATCCCAGCTACTCAGGAGACTGAGGCAGGAGAATCGCTTGAACCCAGGAGGTGCAGGCTGCAGTGAGCCAAGATCACGCCATTCCACTCCAGCCTGGGCGACAGAGCAAGACTCCGTCTCCAGAAAAAAACAACAAAAGAAAAATTGTTAAGGTGGTAAATTTTATGTTATGTGTATTTTATTACAATTTTTTTAAAAAAGTTAACAATTAACAATTGGCCAGGTACGGTGGCTCACGCCTGTAATCCCAGCACTGTGGGAGGCCGAGGCAGGTGGATCACGAGGTCAGGAGTTCAAGACCAGTCTGGCCAAGATGGTGAAACCTCGTCTCTACTAAAAATGCAAAAATTAGCTGGGCACAGTGACAGGCGCCTGTAATCCCAGCTACTCAGGAGGCTAAGGCAGGAGAATTGCTTGAACCCAGGCGGCAGAGGTTGCAGTGAGCCAAGATCGCGCACCACTGCACTCCAGCCTGGGTGACAGACTGAGACTCCGTCTCAAAAAAAAAAAAAAAAGTTTAACAATTTTTAAAAATCTACTGAGATGGACAAATGACGAAGTTTGCTGTAATAGTAAATATGATAAAGTTATTCGACTATCAATTGCAGAATCTAGGTGGTGGGTACATGAATGTTCACTTTCAACTTTTCTGTGAGTTTGAAGATTTTTTTTACAATAAAATGTCAGTGGAAGAGAACAATGCTGGCATCTAGTAGTTTGCTTTTACTATCATCTACTAGTCATAAATAATAGAAAATATTTGGATAATTCTCTCCTTTTTTTTAGTAAAATTCTTAAAAGCACTTTTTTTTTTTTTTCTGAGACAGTCTAGCTCTGTTGTCCAGGCTGGAGTGCAGTGGCACGATCTCGGCTCACTGGAACCTCCACCTCACAGGTTCAAGTGATTCTCCTGCTTCAGCCTCCTGAGTAGCTGGAACTTCAGGCACGTGCCACCACACCCGGCTAAATTTTGTATTTTTAGTAGAGACAGGGTTTCACCATGTTGGCCAGCCTCGTCTTGAACTCCTGACCTCAGATGATCCACCCATCTCAGCCTCCCAAAGTGCTAGGATTACAGGTGTGAGCCACCACACCTGGCCAAAAGCACATTTTATCAGCATCTCCTATTTCACTATAGCCATTCTAAAACTAAAAGTGGTTTATATGAAACTTCTTTTTTTTTTTTTTTTTTTGAGACGGAGTCTTGCTCTGTCACCCAGGCTGGAGTGCAGTGGCCGCATCTCAGCTCACTGCAAGCTCCGCCTCCCGGGTTTACGCCATTCTCCTGCCTCAGCCTCCCGAGTAGCTGGGACTACAGGCGCCCGCCACCGCGCCCGGCTAGTTTTTTGTATTTTTAGTAGAGACGGGGTTTCACCGTGTTAGCCAGGATGGTCTCGATCTCCTGACCTCGTGATCCGCCCGCCTCGGCCTCCCAAAGTGCTGGGATTACAGGCTTGAGCCACCGCGCCCGGCCAATATGAAACTTCTTAACCAGTGCACACGTATATGCTTTCAAGTTAAATTATTCTAAGGTATCAACTGCCACGTATTCAGTCTCTCCTGAAGAAATACAGAAACCAAGTCCACAGGTATCTGTGGCTGATGACTGACAACTTAACTGAACAAAACAAGAAGGCAAGGATTGGAATTATCTGTTCCTAACTTTCTTAGCTACTAGAGCCAGGAAATCCCTTAACTAACAGCATCTTAACCAGTACCTGAATGTACAGAAGCACACTGCATAGACACAAACACTTCAGCCACTTCAGAATATCCAATTCTTCCTCTAGTTTTGTTCCCCATTCCTGCTAGCAATTCAGACTTTAATGTGTTTGGTGCTACAACAGGAACTCAGATGTCATACAGCATAGCAACTGAAAAAAAATCAGACCACCTCACACCCATCAGGATGGTTACTAGTGACAATAAAGGTAAGCGTTGGCCACGATGTAGAGAAATTAGAACCCTGTGTATTGTTGGTGGGAATGTAAAATGGTACAACAACCACTGTCAAAAACAGTACAGTGGTTCCTTAAAAATTTTAAACTAGAATTATCACATGATCCAGCAATTACATTTCTGGGTATGTACCCAAAAGAACTGAAAGCAAGGTCTCAAAGAGATATCTGTACACCCATGTTCACAACAGCATTATTCCCAATAGCTAAAACGTGGAAGGAACCCAAGTGTCCACAGACAAATAGATGGACAAGGAAATGCGGTATATACATACAAGGGAATATCATTCAACCTTTAAAAGGAAGAATTCTGACACACGCAACAACATGGATGAACCTTGAGGACATTATGCTAAATGAAAATAAAACCAGTCACAAATTCTGTATGATTCCATTTACACGAGGTACGAAGAATACTCAAAATCACAGAGACACAAAGTACAATGATGGTCGCCAGGGGCTGAAGGGAGGAGGGAATGGAGATTTGTTGTTTAACGGGTATCAAGTTTCAGTTTTGCAAGATGAAGAGTTCTGGAGATGGATGGTGGTGATGATTGCACAACAGTGTGAATGCACTCAATCCCACTGAACTATACACTTAAAAATGGCTAGGACGGGAAATTTTATGGTATGTGTATTTTTATCACAATTAAAACAAAACATGGAACTGATCTCAGAAGGCCTGGTGGTGCTTCCACGTGGAACCGATAGAAGAGCAATCTATTTAGCCGGCTTCTATCTCTAATCGCACCATGAGACCTTGTCTCCTCCGACTCTCCAATCTGCTGAGGATCACACCAAGTGTTTACTTCAGCTTCAAAAAGAGCAAACAGTACTCCTGCTCCACCAGTTCTGTGTCAAAGCAGCAAGGAACTTAATCTCTCCAAACCTGCCTCCTCTTTAAAACAAGGATAATTCCTACCTATCTGCCTCACAAGGTTGCTATGAGGGCAAAAGTGAGATCATGTATATAAAAGTGGCTTTAAACTGACAAACACTAGAGAAACATACATTACGTGTATAACTACTTTCATATGGAAATTCAGAAGCGGCTTTAACAACGTAAGCTTCATAAAGCTTGCAACACCTCACCCATGCTTTATTCCTTTATTCCATTTAAAACCCACATCATCTCCAAATAACACCTTTCTTGTTTTTGCCATAAACTGAAGGACAGCACTGGGGCGGGGGGGCGGGGGGGAAGGAAAGAAAACCCTTGGGTGGAAAAAAAAAAAAAAAAACTCAAAAGGCAATCAGAAATTATCTCACATGTCCTATGTCCTATGAAAATTCGGTATTTATGATCCCAGCGTGGGCCCGCGGCGCCCCGGAACTACACTTCCCACAAAGCATCGAGGCGAACCCCGGCGGCGGGCGGGGCGGCCTGGGATTCAGGGTGACCACCGCTCTCCCCAGACAGGGACCGCCGTCCCCGGGAAGGCTGCACCGCGTACGCTCGAGGGGGCACTAACTCTCCTTTCTGAAAGCGCTGTCACCCCGTGGTTTCTCCTGCGGTTCGACCGGCGACCCTCTCCGCCCTCCCTGCTCCACCTGAGGGTCACCGCCTATTCGTGACCTTTCGGCTGATTACTAGAGTGTCACAAAAAGGCACCTTCTCCCCTTTCCCGAAAGCTCCATTTCTAGAACTCGCCCAACCGTCGGGGACCCGGGGCTAGGAGGGGTCAGATGGGACGGGTGTACACTGCCCGTCACCCCGGGGCTCCGGCCCTCCCGCCAGCCGAGGCTCGGTGGGCAGGGGGCCGGGCTCCCCCCACCCCGGGCCAGGGCGGATCGCGGGCAGAGGTGGCTCCGCCCGGGGCTCCAGTTTCAATTTCGCAACGTGACGGTGCAAACCTGAGGCCTACAAACGCCAGCGGCGACGGTCCGCGCCCCGCCCGCCAGCCAGGCCAGGGCGCCCCAGCTCCCCGCACGCCGCGGCCGCCGCCCGCCCACCGGGCCTGGCGCCCCAGCCCTCCAGCCCAGATGCGGCCGCCGCCCCCCGGCACCGCGCGGCGCCCGTTCCGGCTCGCGGCCCCAGGTTCGGCCGCGGCACTTACTCAGCTCATCCTGGGAGGCGGAGGCGGCGGCCGCAGCCATGTTGCGCCGGGGAGGGAACGAAGGAGGGGCTGGGGGGGCAGGGCGCGGCCGGGGGGCTCGCGGCTCGCGGTGCGGCAGGGGCCGCGAGCCGCCTCCGGTCACTCGGCGCGGACCGCGCTGTGCCTCGAGGCCCGCCCGCCCGCCGCCGCCGCCGCCGCCGCCTGCGTCCTCCGCGTCGCGAGCGTCGCTCTTCGCTGCCCCCGCGAGCTCGCGACTCGGGCGCTCCCGCAGCCTCGCGCCTCTGCGGAGCCGCTGCCGCCGCCGCCGCCGTCTGTGCGGCCGAATCCCCGTGCGCCAGGCCCGCGCGGCGGCTCTGCGACTCCGCGCCGCGCTCGCCCAACTCACGCCGGTTTTATATTTAGAAAGAGCTGAGCCATCCTCCCAGCGGCCCCCCCGCCGGGCCCCTCGCGCGCCCGCCCGCCCTCGCTCGCTCGCGGCTCGTCCTGCCCACCTGTCGCCGCCCGCCCCGCGTGCGCTCCCCGCGCGGACTCGGCACGCGGCGGCCTGTGCGGGCGGCCCGGCCTAACTGCCCCAGCGCGCGCGCAGAGCCAGCCCACCGCGGCCCCGGCGCGGGCCTCTGACCTGAGTCGGAGCCGGTCTCCATGCCGCGACGCTACACTCGGCGCCGCGAGGTGAGGGCTGTGGAGTGAGGCGTTCGGCGGGCCGGGCCCCGGGGAGCCGCGCGCCGCAGTCCGTGAGGGGCTGGGCCGAGCGGGCCCAGGCTGCCCTAGCGGCCGGGGGAAATCCTCGAGGCGGGGCCGGAGCGCCCTTTTCCGAGGTCTGCGGCTGTCACGTTGGCTGGGCCCGACCTGGGGAAACACGCCTGTCCAAAGGAAGAGACGTGGACTCAGAAAAGTAGAGCCGGGCTCGGAGTCGGCGGGAGGAAGCCCCGCCCTGCGCCTCCCGCCGAACTTCTCGGCCTCGGCGCTGACTCAGTCCCGGACGAGTCCCTGCGCCGCAGCGGCCCCTGACAGCCCGGTCCTGGTGTGGAGGTTACTGGTGCTCCCAAAACGGCTAGCGGGAGTAGGGGATCCACTCAGCCCTGCAAAAGTTAGATGAGCCAAGATTCCTAAAGTTCACATGGAAGTATCTATGCCTATGCGAGCTTTGACATTTTGTTCAGGTACTCTACGTTCTTTTCGGTCACGAGAGTGATTCATTTTCGATATGCTCATTTTAACTTTCTGCCTTCGCTCTGTCCGTGAGGTCATGTACACTTGCAAAATGAAATTCAAATTCAGGGGTTGCATAATTGCTGTACTTTAAGTGATAGTACTGTCATAACAAATTAGATACAAGATCAGATACTTTTTTAATATAAGAAGAAGAAATCAAGTCTTAAATGGATTGAAATTGCATTTATTCCTTAAAGCAGAAATCTATAAAGCCGTAAGTAATGTCTTGAAAATGGAATATGTGTCATTCCTGTGGTAACAGGCCAAGTACAAGGTACAACACTGAAGACATTTTTATTTCCTTTATTGTTTTTGTTGTAGAAATTTACATGATCTTGGGCCGGGCGCAGTGGCTCACGCCTGTAATCCCAGCACTTTGGGAGGCTGAGGCGGGTGGATCACGAGGTCAGGAGTTAGAGGCTGGCCAACATGGTGAAACCCTGCCTCTACTGAAAATACAAAAATGAGCTGGGCGTGGAGGCGCACGCCTGTAATCCCAAGTACTCGGGAGGCTGAGGCAGGAGAATCGCTTGAACCCAGGAGGCAGAGCTTGCAGTGAGCCGAGATCGCACCACTGCACTCCAGTCTGGGGGACAGAGCGAGACTCCGTCTTGAAAAAAAAAAAAAAAAATTATACGTGATCTTTGTTAAAAACATGCAAATGATTTGGAGTATCATAAAATGAAAAGTGAACGTCCTTCCTCCTTGCCCCACCATCCCACTCTGCAGAGAAATTACGACTAACAGTTAAGTGTGCAGAAGACCTTTTCTCTGGACACATATATACAGCCCCATGTATGGCTTTGATGGGGACAGGTTTCATACAATAAAGTTCTGGATCAATTATTCCTTCAAACACATTGTTCCATGTTAATTCAAAACACTACACTACCATCACCCTTTTTTGTTTGTAACTTCATAGTACACTAAGTTAACCAACCCCTTTTTTCATGTACGCCTCTCTTTTATTTGATGTTGCCTCCAAAATAAATACACAATGAACTACTTACAAACAATACACAGGTGTATACAGGTCTTCCCCCAACTCCATACCCACCATCCCCCTCATCCCACTCATGCCTATAAATAATGTCTGTTAACAGTTTGGTGCATTCAACCTTTCCTGACTATTTCCATGACTACAGAAAGTAGCTGCACCAAAGACTGGTTTGGGGAAATTTGACTTCCCATAATCTCAAATGGATCCTTCTAAAGCCACCCCAGATAAATACGGAATCTAAGTAAAAAAACAATGGGTTTGTTTTTTATTTTATTTTATTTTATTTTTATTTATTTATTTATTATTTTTTTTTTTGAGACAGTTTCGCTCTTGTTGCCCAGGCTGTAGTGCAATGGTGCGATCTCAGCTCACCACAACCTCCGCCTCCCGGATTCAAGCGATTTTCCTGCCTCAGCTTCCCGAGTAGCTGGAATTACAAGCATGCACCACCACGCCCGGCTAATTTTGTGTTTTTAGTAAAGACGGGGTTTCTCCATGTTGACCAAGCTAGTCTCCAACTCCTGACCTCAGGTGATCCACGCACCTGGGCCTCCCCAAGTGTTGGGATTACAGGCGTGAGCCACCGTGCCTGGCCATTAGGCAATTTTAACCTCCAGGCAAGACTAGTTAACAAATCTTTAGTTCCTCCTATGTAGAAATTCCAGGTTCTTTGTGTGTACAAATCACATGAATGTGTGTACACAGATTTCTGTTAGTTTTGACAAAAATGGAACTCTACTTCCCATATTATGTAACATTTTTTGCCAAATAATATATTACAGGTATCCTTTCATATCAGTAATGATAATAATGGCTAATGTAATACTAATTATGCCAGGCACCATTGTAGTGTTTTACTTGGATGAATTCATCTCCTCCCCACAAAAATCTTATGAAATAGGGATTTTTATGGCACTGGATGGTTGAGGAACACATCTAATGTGCCACAAACGAAAGGAAGTGGTGGAGCTGGGATTTGAACCTGGGCAGTGCGGATCCAGAGTCAGCTTGCTTAATCACTAGGATCAGTATGTACAGAACTACCTCTTTTTGTTTTTGTTTTTGTTTTTGTTTTGAGATGGAGTCTTGCTCTGTCGCCCAGTCTGGAGTGCAGTGGCATGATCTCAGTTCACTACAACCTCCTCCTCCCGGGCTCAAGCAATTCTGCCTCAGCCTCCTGAGTAACTGGGGTTACAGGCGTGTACCACCACACCCAGCTAATTTTTGTATTTTTAGTAGAGATGGAGTTTCACCATGTTGGCCAAGCTGGTCTCAAACTCCTGACCTCAAATGATCCACCCGCCTCGGCCTCCCAAAGTACTGGGATTACAGGCATGAGCCACTGCGCCTGGCCTCATTTTTTTTTTTTTAATGGCTTCATGATAAGAACCAACAAAATGTATTTAACCATTTCCTTATTGATGAGCAGTTAGGTTGTTTACAATTTTTTACTAAACAATACTACCATAAAACATTCTTATACATATCTTTATGTAATCATACATTTCTATACGTAGACGTGGAATTGTTAGGCAAAAAAAGTCTTAAAGTCTCATTACATACAGTAGTTTATAGCAACTTACAGTGCTACTTCTGATCATTACTGTGTAGAGCTCTGAGCTTTTTTATACTTGCTTCTTCCATCAAACTACTTATAGTTTATTTTTCCCACTAAATAGCTTCATGTTCATATGAAACACTTTGGTTTTGAATAGCAGCAGCCTTGAGAGAGTTACTGTCTAGAATTCACTTCAGTTTTCAAAAACAGAGGCAAGAAGGAATTGGGGTGAGGAGGCAAACAGGAGCCAGAGAAGAGGCTACTGAGAAACCAAAATAGGATATCATAGAATCCAAGAACTAAAAACCTGTCCCCTCTCCTCTCATGTAGGCTGTCTTCACATCAAATGCATATAAAGTTCTAACAAGATTTTTAAAAATCTTGTTTCCCGAGTTAAAGCAGAATATTTGAAAACATTCCTCTTCTGGGCAGATACATAGATGACAAGTGCTAACAGACACCTAAAAACAAAGCAGCATACAAATTATTAGGCTGGGCCAGGCACAATGGATAATATCTGTAATCCCAGCACTTTGGAAGGCTGTGAGGCAGGAGGATCCTTGGAAGCCAGGAATTCAAGACCAACCTGGGCCATCTAGCAAGACATGGTTCCTACAAAAAATCAAAAAGTTATCCAGGTGTGGTGGTGCACACCTGTGGTCCCAGTACTGGAGAGGCTGAGATGGGAGAAGTGCATGAGCCTGGGAGGCAGAGTTTGCCATGAGCAGAGATTGCACCACTGTACTCCAACCTGAGCAACAGAGTGAGACCCTGTCAAAAAAAAAAAAAAAAAAGAGAAGAAAGGAAGGGAGGGAGGGAGGGAGGGAGGAAGGAAGGAAGGAAGGAAGGAAGGAAGGAAGGAAGGAAGGAAGGAAGGAAGGAAGGAAGGAAAAAGAAACAGCAGCTACTCAGGAGGGTGAGGTGGAAGGATAACTTGAGGCCAGAAGTTCAAGACCAGCCTAGGCAGCATAGCAAGACCCCATCTGTACAATAAAATGATAAATAAATGAACATATAAGAACTCAAAATGTAAATTCTGGGTTGGGTGTGGTGGCTCACGCTTGTAACCCTAGCACTTTGGGAGGCCGAAGCAGGTGGATCATCTGAGGTCAAGAGTTTGGGACCAGCCTGGCTAACATGGTGAAACTCCATCTCTACTAAAAATACAAAAAATTAGCCAAGCGTGGTGGCACGCAGCTGTAATCCCATCTACTCAAGAGGCTGAGGCAGGAGAATTGCTTCAACCCAGGAGACGGAGGTTGCAGTGAGCTGAGATTGCGCCATTGCACTCCAGCCTGGGCGACAAGAGTGAAACTCAGTCTCAAAAATAAAAAAAATGTAAATTCTGGGGGTATTTATAAAGTATGAAATGCACTGAGTCATTTCTCTTGAATAGATGGTATTCATGGTGCTAATCCTAACCTTAAAAAACAGTAAAATTATGGCCAGGCATGATGGCTCACACCTATAATACCAGTACTTTAAGAGGCTGAAGCAGGAGAATGGCTTGAGGCCAGGAGTTCAAGACCAGCCTAAGGAAACATAACAAGCCCCTGTCTCTACAAGAAAGAAAAAAAAATGTAGTAAAATTATGTCAGGTATATTAGCATCAAAAAACCAAGTATGGAGTATATTTTAGTAAGCTTTTCATCTAAAATGGTTGTAATAAGAAATTTTGGGTGCCTAAAAGGATTTATTCTAAACTATCTAGAAAATTAAATTATCCCAAGTGATTCAATTTAGAATTGAATTCAATTTGGACCTCCAGAGTTCCAGACAAGCCAAAATTCTACATAAATAAATTTCATATGCCATTTGTTTTGGTTGCTGAAAAAGTCAGGGACTGGGTCCAACCAGGCAATGTAGTTCAAACCTAAGATCTTCATCTCTGCTCTTTTCAGTCATTTATTAAAGACATATTTCACGCACATAAAGCCATGTCATGACTTAAAACATTCCTCTTTCTAAAAAATCACACTCAGAAACATCTGTCTCCAACCATGATTAGAATCCTTCCACTATTTTACTCTCTAATTCCTGTGAACTCAGAGTACATTTTAAAGTCTCATCGTCTGAAATGTTTCAACCACTTTCTGGTCCATGTGTCGTCTCCTGAGCGTCACTAGCTCCAGTCTTAGGCTAAAGCCCAGGGATGTCAATGAGTTATTTTTCTTTTTCTTTTTCTTTTTTTTTTTTGAGACGGAGTTCCACTCTTATCACCCAAGCTGCAGTGCAATGGCACAATCTCGGCTCACTGCAACCTCTGCCTCCTGTGTTCAAGCGATTCTCCTGCCTCAGCCTCCCAAGTAGCTGGGATTACAAATGCATGCCACCACGCCTGGCTAATTTTTTGTAATTTTAGTAGAGACAGGGTTTCATCACATTGGCCAGGCTGGTCTCAAACTCCTGACCTCAGCTGATCCACCCGCCTTGGCCTCTCCAAGTGCTGGGGATTATGGGCGCGAGTCACTGCGCCCGGCCTGGCAATGAATTCTTACTAGAGCACCTTCAAGTTCTTTTCCCTGGGTTTTTATCTTACAGACTGTGCCAGTCAGTTCCCAATGTTGGACAAACTCCACCATCCACTTTATTTTCCCTCTCAACTACCATTGCAAAGAAGGCAAAAAGCTGACCTGGTCTAGTATAAGACTAAACCATGGCTATAGGAGGCAGTCTTCCTGCTTTTAAAAATGTAGCCCTATACCAGAATATCCTATCTCTTCTGGTTTCCTTTAGACAATGACTTCAAAGTTCGTGTTCCCCTAAAAGAATTTTGAAAAACACTGTAATCCAATAATGCATTTTTATGTTGGCGTCTAAAATTTTTTCTCATAAATAATTGAAAAGAGGAAATTTTGACAACAAATTCTATTGTAAATATCAGCATTTTAAAATAAAGGCCCTTTATCACTTTTTTAAACGTATCTATAGACTAAGAGTTTTTCTAAATAAATTTTAATTTATTTAGAATTTATTTATTTATTTATTTGATACTGCAAGGTTAAAAACACAAACTATTTTTTTCTCTGTGCTCACATCACAATCAAAACACAAGACTTCAGGCTAGGCATTGTGGTTCACGCCTGTAATCCCAGCACTTTGGGAGGTTGAGGCGGGCAGATGACTTGAGGTTAGAAGTTCGAGACCAGCCCAGCCAACAGGGTGAAACCCTGTCTCTACTAAAAAATACAAAAATTAGCTGGGCGTGGTGGCACGCAGCTGTAATCCCAGCTACTCAGGAGGCTGAGGCAGGAAATCGCTTGAACCCTGGAGGAGGAGGTTGCAGTGAGCTGAGATTGCGCCACTGCCCTCTAGCCTGGCGACAGAGTGAGACTCTTTCTCAAAAAACAAACAAACAAAACAGAACAAAAAAAACAGAAGACTTCTAAGACCAAATGGAGGCAGTGGGTAGGTTCTTCCCATACAATAAGCAAGCAAGCAATTCTGCAGCAGACACCTACTAGATAGCCTCTAATTCAATTCCAACACCATCTACTTTGAGATAATGTCAGATCACACAGGTGGAGGGTTCAGTCCCACAAGACTGCCCCACAACTTACAATGCCAATTGCAAGCTCCAGGTTATTTAACCTGTGCTTCTGACTAACTGGCTGTAAACTGGGGATCCACGACCCCCTCCTTGGTTCGACTAATTTGCTAGAGCAACTCACAGAACTCAAGGAAACAGTTTACTGGTATATTATAAAGTATATTATAAAAGATACAGATGAAAAGCTGCATGGAGCAAAGAATGAAAAGGGGTGTGGAGCTTCCATGCCCTCCCCAAAGATGACACCCTCCTGGAACCTCTATTTGTTCAGCTACCTAGAAGCTGTCTGTACCCTCATCCTCTTAGGCATTTTATGAAGATTTCATTGCAGAAGCACGATTGAAAGATGGACAACCTTGTAGAAATGTGACTGAACAAAAAGGATATGACCTAATACTAATAGACTGAGTTGAAACCCTGCCAGGCCTGTCTGTTCAGATTCTTCTTTGCCTCTCTGTGTAGCATTATTTCATCCAGATATGGGGCAGGACCCCTTCTGAAATGAGAGTCTTTTTTTTTTTTTTAATTTCTAGTAGAGACAGGGTTTCTCCACATTGGTCAGGCTGATCTCGAACTCCCGACCTCAGGAGAACCACCCACCTCGGCCTCCCAAAGTGCTGGGATTACAGGCATGAGCCACCGTGCCTGGCCTGAAATGAGAGTCTTATGATCTACAATTGGACAAGGTAGGTGAGAGAATTTTTTACTGCCAGCCTCCAAGACGGAAGGGTAGGGGAAGAAGATTCTTGCTTTGAGAAGAAAAAGGAGAGCAAGAGAAGGTCAGAGAGAGAGAGAGATTCTGTTTTCTTTTTTCTTTTTTTTTTTTTTTTTTTTTTTTTTGCGACAGAGTCTTACTCTGCCACCCAGGCTGGAGTGCAGTGGCAAGATCTCGGCTCACTGCATCCTCTACCTCCAGGGTTCAAGTGATTCTCCTGCCTCAGCCTCCTGAGTAGCTGGGATTACAGGTGCCCGCACTGCACCTGGCTAATTTTTGTATTTTTAGTAGAGACAGGGTTTCATCATGTTGGCCAGGCTGGTCTCGAACTCCTGACCTCAGATGATCTGCCCGCCTCAGCCTCCCAAAGTGCTGGGGTTACGGGCCTGAGCCATCACACCTGGCCAAGATTCTGTTTTCCAAGGCCTGCTTCTGAGGTCTAAAGCACCCAACATTATAACAAGGGCTACTGGAGTCATAAGCCAGGAACCATAGAAGCAAACATATATATGTTTTCACAGATATCTACCATCATCATTATTTTAAAAATACATGAACAAGACATTTTACATGATTGCCCTTTCTCCTTGAACTTGTAGTTTGATTAGACTTCCCTCACGATAATTTAAATGAATGTAATACAGTTTTAATCTTTAAAGTTTTATTTACTTCATTATTCTTTTCTTCAACAAAAATACATATATAATTTTTTTTTTTTTTTTTTTTTTTTTTTTTTTTTTGAGATGGAGTCTCGCTCTGTCACCAGGCTGGAGTGTAGTGGTGCAATCTTGGCTCACTGCAACCTCCACCTCCCGGGTTCAAGCGATTCTCCTGCCTCAGCCTCCCAAGTAGCTGGGACTACAGGTGCACACCACCTCGCCCAGCTAATTTTTGTATTTTTAATAGAGATGGGGTTTCACCATGTTGGCCAGGATGGTCTCGATCTCCTGACCTCGTGATCCGCCTACCTCGGCCTCCCTAAGTGCTGGGATTATAGGCGAGAGCTACCGCAACCGGCCAAATTACATTTTTTAAAAAATTTTTCTATGACCATGTAAAAACTTATTTTAGATTGAGTAATCATAATTAGTCACAGTACACAATTTATCAAAACAACGTATATATTACAACCTTCTTAGGCATTGAACTATTAGTGAATAATATTTTTTTTCTTAGAGATGGGATTTTGCTATGTTGCCTAGGCTGGCCTTGAACTCCTGGCCTCAAGCAATCCTCCCACTTCCACCTCCTGAGTAGCTGGGGCTACGGGCACGCACCACCATGCCCCATGCAATTTTTTATGTTACAGCTTTTGAGAGTCATGATACATAAAAAGATTTTATTGGAAATGTCTCTTTTAACAAAAAGGATAGACCAGCCTAAGCAACATAGAGAGACCCCATCTCTGCAAAAAATTTTTTAAAAATTAGGTGGGCATGGCCCGGGTGCGGTGGCTCACGCCTGTAATCCCAGCACTTTGGAAGGCCGAGGTTAGCAGATCACGAGGTCAAGAATCCGAGACCAACCTGGTTAACATGGTGAAACCCCGTCTCTACTAAAAATACAAAAATTAGCCAGGCATGGTGGCACACACCTGTAATCCCAGCTACTCGGGAGGCTGAGGCAGGAGAATTGCTTGAACCCAGGAGGCAGAGGTTACAGTGAGCCAAGATCGTGCCACTGCATCTCAGCCTGGGTAACAGAGCAAGACTCCATCTCAAAAAAAAAAAAAAAAAAAAAAATTAGACGGGCACGCTGGCACACACCTGTGGTAATATAGAAAGAGGGTTCCTCACAAGACAGAGGGGGGCAACAGAAGCCAGGCAAAAGAGGCAGTGTCCCTAAGTCAGGGCTGGAGAGGCATTCTGCCAAATGCACAGGGGCTTGAAAGAAAACAAACCCGGAAGAGACCACGGAAAGCTACAACCCTGTCATTGTGAAACTCCCAAAGATGGGACACCATATGCCTGAGATTCTCGAGTTTGTACATGTTGTCTTTTCATATGTTACATATTTTATATGTATATATATGCAGCATCCCTTTTTCTGTGGCGAGCGGCCCTTCTCCTTACCACATGGTTCTTATGGGGCCAGCATTCCCAGTACTCCAAAACCCCACTGACCCAGGGCCCAGGGATCATGGATTGCCATTCCCCAGTCAGAAGATGGCTCAAAAAGAGCAATATGTTTAACTGTAGGAGATTGGAGGCTTTTTGTTCTTGTTTATTTGGTTTTTTTTTTTGAGATGGAGTCTTGCTCTGTCACCCAGACTGGAGTACAGTGGCACAATCTTGGCTCACCACAACCTCTGCCTCTCGGGGTCAAGAGATTCTCCTGCCTCAGCCTCCTGAGTAGCTGGGATTACAGGCCCCCGCCACCACGCCCAGCTAATTTTTGTATTTTTAGTAGAGACGGAGTTTCACCATGTTGGCCACGCTGGCCTCGAACTCCTGACCTCAGGTCATCTGCCAATCTCAGCCCCACCAAAGTGCTGGGATTACAGGTGTGAGCCACTGCACCTGGCTTTCTCTGCCTCCCCTTGAAAGTCAATATTTTCTGGGTTTCAGCTGCAAATCACTCTACCTGCTCTTTCTTTGCAATCTCCACTCACTCGTCTTCAAGTACTTAAATGACTCTTTAATTTCTCTCTCCAGTTAGGTCTCCTGGACATCACCCACATGTCCCATTTGTGCTTCAAACTTAATGTGTTTCCAACTGAATTTGACTTCCTTCTCAAACCTGCTTCCTGTATCTGTCAGAGTGTGTGGAACCAGCATCCAGTCGACCAAGCCATAGAACTGGGAGCAGTATATAATTCCATCCTCTCTCACCTTTACTCACTACATGCCGATGGTCACTGAGTAGTATCAGTTAGGGTTTCTGTGTTTCCTAGCACAGAAACCAACTCATGTAAACACAACAAGATTTGTAGAAGAGTACTGGAGAAGTTCACAGAAACATAGGAAAATTAAAGAACTAGGCTTCATGAAGGATAGAAAGCAGGCAACTGCGGTGTTCTCCCCAAGAGGAGCTTGAAGACCATCCCCCAGAGAGCTATACCCAGATAATTCGGCAACAATATGGCCTTTCATTTATGGATGGGGTGGAATAAGAATTATAAACTCCAAACTTTTTATTCAACCTTGGTTAAAATGAAAAGAAACCATTGGTTGCAATGCTATTGGATGAGAGGTAACTAATCTTGTTGATGTAAATCTTCGAGAATCCAAACTGCTGATCCCCACATTTCTCAACAACAAAAGAAGGAGATGATTAGAGGAAATTTACATTCTGATGACTACAGGAACACAATGAACAAGATATCAACTCTAAGAGACGAAGGTCATATTTAAGTTTCAAATCTTTGCATGCTCTATTTCTTATTATTATGACCATAGCTTCTTTAATAAAGAGCAACAGACTCCCGTTTTAAGTAAATTTTCTCATTCATGCTATAAATGAGTTCACCAGTCTTGTGTTCACATATATACTGTGTAGATTCTTTTGTCAGACCAAGAGTATTTTGAGTGACCCTCTCCCATAGCTGTAGATATTAAAGTCACCTCTGATACAGCTAATTTCAATGCAATACAAAGCTGATGTATACAGTAGTATCTAGATCAAACTCCTGGGAGGGTTGGAATTGATTGATTTAGTTTGGATCACATATCCACCCTGTCAGGGAGAGTTGGGAGTATTAATATAGGAATGGGGATAGGAAAGTTGAACAATAAAGTAAACAATAATAACCGCATCTGATATGGTTTGGCTCTGTGTCTTCACCCAATCTCATCTTAAATTGTAATCCCCAGGTGTAGAGAAAGGGACCTGGAGGAAGTGATTGGATCATGGGGGTGGTTCCCCCCATGCTATTCTCAATAGTGAGGGAGTGCTCACAAGATCTGGTTGTTTGATAAGTGCCTGGCATTTCCCCTGCCCTCACTCAGTCTCTCTCCTGCTGCCATGTAAGGCGTGCCCTGTTTTCCCTTCACTTTCCAAGATTGTAAGTTTCCTGAGGCCTCCTCAGGCATACAGAACTGTGAGTCAATTAAACCTCTCTCCTTTTTAAATTACCCAGTCTCAAGTAGTACCTTTACAGCAGTGTGAAAACGGACTAATACAATATCTCACTATACAGCAAATATTCAGTCTGCTTAAAGTGGCCTTAAACTGTCACTTTATCTCAATACCGTGCCTTAGTCCACTTTCTCTAAAGCATATTTCAGTAAAAATAAGATCTGTCTTTAATCCCTTGCATTTTGGCTTCTGACTTCTTTTTTATTACTATTATTATTATTATTATTATTATTATTATTATTATTTTGAGACAGAGTCTTACTCCGTCACCCAGGCTGGAGTGCAGTGGCGCGATCTCGGCTCACTGCAGCCTCCGCCTCTTGGGTTCAAGGGATTCTCCTACCTCAGCCTCCAGAGTAGGGATTACAGATGTGTACCACCACACTAGGTTAATTTTTGTATTTTTAGTAGAGATGGGGTTTTTGCCATCTTGGCAAGGCTAGTCTCAAACTCCTGACCTCAGGTGATCCACCCTCCTTGACCTCCCAAAGTGCTAGGAATATAGGTGTGAGCCACCATGCCCAGTCGGCTTCTGGCTTCTTTACCCCGATGAAGATCACCACTGTTACTCTTGTGGAAAAAAAAGAAAAGAAATTCTTATCTGAGGAATATGAGCTCCTTTAAATTATCAGGCCCAAGCCAGGTTCAGTGGCTCATACCTGTAATCCCAGCACTTTGGGAGACTGAGGCGGGCAGATCACATGAGGTCAGGAGTTTGAGACCAGCTTGGCCAACATGGCAAAACAATGTCTGTACTAAAAATACAAAAATTAGCCAGGTGTGGTGGCCCATGCCTGTAATCCCAGCTATTTGAGAGGCTGAGGCAGGAGAACTGCTTGAACCCAGGAGGCGGAGGTTGCAGTGAGCTGAGATGACGCCACTGCATTCCAGCCTGGGCCATAGAGCGAGACTCCATCTCAAAATAAACAAACAAACAAACAGGCTCAGAGAAGCACTGGAATAAAAGCGCAGTCATATCACCCTCCCTTAAGCTAAATAATTACCTCTTGAAGCCACTTGCTATGTGGGTTGTAGATTAATTGATGCCAAAAGCCATTGAATGGCATATACCCTATAGCTGATACGTAGCCAAACACTAACCAATGTTATTTCTGTAAACAAATAGGAATTCCTAACAACTTTTGTAATCACCCCCTTCTCCTGATTTGTTCTTCTTTCTTTAAAAACTTGAGCCTCCTCTTTATTCCCCAGAGCGTTCTCCAAGGCAACTTGGAAGTATGTTCCAGACTGCAGTCCTCAACCTTGGCCCAGATAAACTCTTTATATCAATTATGCCTCGGCTTCTTCCTTTGAAGTCAACACTCAGAGTTTACCAGTGACTTCTCATATGATGTTTAGTGATTTTTCAGGACAGCTTAGTCTTGCTGACATCTATCAAACATCAGACACTTCATGCAGCTCTATCTTCTTGTCAGCCTTGACTCATTTTTCTTCTTTCTGAAGTCTACCTGTTTGGCTGCATGCGGTGGCTCACGCCTGTAATCCCAGCACATTGGGAAGCCAAAGCAGGTGGATCACTTGAGGTCAGGAGTTAGAGACCAGCCTGGCCAACATGGTGAAACCCTGTCTCTACTAAAAATACAAATTTTTGTATTTTTTGGACAGAAAATACAGTAACACATGGTGGCATGTGTCTGTAATTCCTGTTACTTGAGAGGCTGAGGCAGGAGAATTGCTTGAACCTGGCAGGCGGAGGTTGCAGTGAGCCAAGATAGCACCACTGCACTCCAGCCTGGGTGACAGAACAAGACTCTGTCTAAATAAATAAATAAATAAAGTCTATCTGTTTCCATTCTTCTCTCCCCTTCCTGATAGCTATGTACCTCATTTAAGTTTTTGCTTAACCTTAGAGCAATGGGGTGCTGAAATGATCAAATGTGCATTTCAAAAAGATTACATTGGCTGCAGAGTTCAAAAAAATTATTAAAGGCGAGCAAAAGTGAATGAATATAATAACATGTTGAGAGTCTATTTCAGTAATTCCAGAGAGAAATAGAAATTTGAATTATGGTGGTGGTGATAAAGATGGAGGGATTTGGATGAACACAAAACAGATTTAAAAGTCAAAACCAATGATGGACTAGATAAGGGAGATGAAGGATGACTGCCATGCTCCTGACTTAGAAAATTATGTGGCACATAGGAAAACCAGATGTGTAGGGGAGGATGCTGGAATTCAGTTTGGGGCATGTTGAGTTGGAGGTGACTTTGAGATATTCAAGGAGAGATGTCCAGTAAACAGATAAATGAATCTGGAGGTCATATTGTACTGTCATGGAGGTGAATATAAACTTGTGAATTATCCTGGTACATGTGGTATTTGAAGCTAAGATTATGAATGAAGTCAGTTAAGGAGATAGTATGGAATCAAGGGAAGATTTGACTCAGCAGAGAAGAATGAACTGGCAAAGAAGACAGGTGGACTAGCCACAGAAGTGAGAGGAGAGCCTCAAGCCATGGAGAGCTTCAAGAATGGAATTAAGCCAGGTGTGGTGGCTCATGCCTGTAATCCCAACACTTTGGCAGGCCAAGGTAGGAGGATCACTTGAGCCCAGGAGTTTGAGACCAGTCGATACCAGTCTGAGCATTTGAGTGAGACTCCTGTCTCTACAAAAAGAAAACACAAAAACAAAAAACAAATGGAATAGAATCATCACTCCCATCAAAATGTTCTGAGAAGACAAATGATAGAACTTTAAAACCTGTTAGTTAAACTTGGGTGCAGTGGCTCACACCTTTAATCCTAGTGCTTTGGGAGTCAAAGGCAGGCAGATCACTTGAGCTCAGGAGTTTGAGACCAGCGTGGGTAACATGGCAAAATCCTGTTTCTACAAAAAATACAAAAATTAGCTGGGAGTGGTGGTGCACACCTGTAGTCCCAGCTACTTGGGAGACTGAGGTGGGAAGACTGCTTGAGCCCAGCAGGCGGAGGTTGTAGTGAGCTGAGATCGTACCACTGCACTCCAGCCTGGGCAACAGAGCGAGACTCCATTTCAAAAAATAAAAATAAAAAAAGTCACTGTCATGAAAGATTTTAAAAAACAAAGTAAGCCGGCAGTGGTGGCTCACACCTGCAATTCCAGCACTTTGGGAGGCCAAGGTGTGAGGATCGCTTGAGCACAGGAACTCAAGACCAGCCTGGGCAACATGGCAAGACCCCATCTCTATTTAAAAATATATACATAAATAAAACAAAATGTGTGTTTTGGAGGGGTCTGTGTTAAGTTGACTAAAGATGCAACCAAATCCTTGACTGGACATTAGAAAGCATCTCTAAAGACCTTTCTGTGAAAATTAAGGAAATTTGAATGAGACTATGTATTAGGTAATAATATTGTACTCATTCTGAATGCCTTATATGTGATAGTGATACTTTGGTTATGTCAGAGAATATGCTTGTTCTTACATAATAGAAACAAATGTTTAGGGAGTAAATGTAATAATGTCCACAACTTAATTTAAAACATATATGTGTGCAAAAACCAAAAAAATGCAAACTGTGTGCAAAAAATGTGTGCAAAACCAAAAAACTGTATCTATGCAAAAACAAATGTGGATGTGTGAAAAACCAAAATGTATATGTGTGAATGTGTGTGTGTGTGTGTGTGGCTGTGTGGGTGTGACAGAGAGAACAAATGTCACAAAATGTCGTCATCCGGCAAAACCAGATGAAGGGTATTAGAGTATTCCTTTGTGCTATTCTTCCTACTTTGCTGCAGGATTGAAATTTTCAAAATAATGAATATTTTACTACAAAAACAAAACAAAAGGCTTATTTACAATCATATCCAATGCTTGCAATTATGAGATTATACTCCCAAAGAATTCTCACAAAACAATTGCATTAATAGGCTATATTTGTTTCACTTCTTACCTATTGATTTGATCAAGTGACCACTGTAAATTGATAGGTCACGGTTGAAAACATGCCATGAGGCAGAGTCCTGGATATAATTAAGCCATAGTAAGGCGAGCCAATATGGAAGTATATATGGCATTGGTTTCCTCTATCACCCCCTTCTTTCCTTCCTGAAGGCAGAAGTTATTGGCAAGACAAAGTAATAGATAAGTAGACTTCAGTAGCATAACAATGCATCAAAGTTAGTAAGGCAAAAGTCTGTTTTGTAGATGCTCTTTTCTGAGGAATCTGAAAAACCTAAGCCTTCTGCTATGGAAAGAAGAATCTAGGGTATCAGCCGGGCACAGTGGCACACACCTGTAATCCCAGCACTTTTGGAGGCCGAGCAGGTGGATCACCTGAGGTCAGGAGTTTGAGACCAGCCTGACCAACAAGGTGAAACCCCGTTTCTACTAAAATACAAAAATTAGCTGGGTGTGGTGGCATGCACCTATAGTCCCAG